AGGCATTTTATATCCCTGATCTCCACACCATTTAGTCCCAAAAGGCTCCTTCCATAATCTTCCACATCTCAGTAAAATGAAGCTCTATTCTTTCTCCCAATTACCAATACCAAAAAGTTCAGAAACATCTTGAGACTCCTCTCCTTCCTTTAAACCCCATATCTGATCCATTGACAAATACTGGTGAGTCTACTTTCAACATTTATCTATAATCTAACCACTTCTCAAATACTCTGCTACTATCACCCTGGTTAGAAACCACAATTAGCTCTCTTCTGGATTATTTCACTAGCCTAACTGGTCTTCCTGTTCTCAAGGCAATGGAAGAGTCATCATATTACTCTTCTGCTCAAAGCCTTATTCACTCCTCAAAGGCCAAAATCTTTACAATGGCTTATAAGGCACTACACGACCCCACTATCTTTCTGATGGTGTCCCTCGCTGGCTTTACTCCAGTCGACAGGCCTTGCTGCTCTTTCTTGGATATGCCAGACAAGTTTAGAACCCTTGTCTTAGCCATTCTCTTTGCCCTAGCCAAACAGTTCTGTTCAGAATTGACATGTCAGGTGTCCACTGTCCTTCAGGAGTTTGAGCAAACACACCTCAACAGTGAGGCCTTCCCTGACATACTATATAAAGTATAATACTACCAAATCACATTCCCCTCGTCCCCCTTTACTCTGCTTTATTTTTCTCCAAAGCATTTATCACCATCTGACATACTAAATATTTAATTTTATTGTTTGCTGCGTGTTATCTCCACACTCGAATGGAGTTCTGTGATGATTATATCCTTAGTAGCAGCCTACATTTAGTTGCTACCTCCTTGAAACTTTCTTCTATGTCTTTGAGGGAAAACTTGCTTCTGGCTCTATTATCTCCCTAGCTCATCCTTTTCTGTCTCCCTGCTGGTAAATGAAAAGGGGTAGAAGGGACAAAACCCACCTCAGGAAGATAACTGGTCTTCTGTGCTAAGTTGGGAGGGGCCCACAGCAGTCTGAAGGCCAGACAACTAACTGCTCTCTAGCAGGCGTTCTCAAACTACGGCCTGCAGGCCACATGCGTCCCACCTAGGACATTTATCCAGCCTGCCGGGTGTTTTTACCACCACTGCCTGCCCTGCTCAGCAGCCAACTTGTCCCGGGGCCTGTAGTCCGGTCCTCCAATGGTCTGAGGGACAATGAATTAACTGGCCCCCTGTTTAAAAAGTTTGAGGACTCCTGCTCTAGGGAGCCAGACATTTCAGAACCTAGGGAGGCCCAGAACCTGTTCTCTATGTGTGAAGATAGGACACCTGCAGCTGGACAGCAAACATGTGAAAGTGTATTAGCTTTAGGCTGAGTGCCTGTAATCCTAGCACTTTGGGAGGCCAAAGAGGGAGAATTGCTTGAAGGCAGGAGTCTGAGATCAGCTTTGGCAATTATGGCAAGACC